AACAGTCTAGCTCATAAACGAAAAGTAGTACGAAACTGATATCAAGTATTTAAGGTTTAAGGTTTGTATGTGGGTTGGATGTGACAGCAACTTTTTCGTTAAAAAGCCGATTTTAACGAAAAAGTTGCTTGTACCGGATGTTCCGGATGTACCGGATGTACCGGAAGTGCCACTTTATATGAACGCTGAAACACATTTTTACAATTTTCTCAAAAACGGTTTTTTTTTTTTTTTTTTAATTTCTTTATTGAGTATTATAACAATCTGTCTGTTGGACATTGGTTATAGTGAGGTAGGATGACATTCACACCATATGTACAAAAAAATAAAATAAATAGAACAAAATAATAATCAGGAGTATATACAATAGACAATAAAATAAAATAACCTAAAAAATAAGAAAATTAAAACTAAGAAAAAAAAACAAAAAAAAAAACACATGCATACCTATATACAATCAGGCGAGGGAACTCCAGGAGAACCCTGCCCTACTCTGGTACCAACCGCATCACTGGTACTAAAGCCAGCGGAGATGGTCGAGAGCACTTTAGCCACATACACACATGTCTTGAGTGAAGAATCTGGCCATTGCCAGAACTCCAAAATAAATACTATAAAAGATCTCTGGGCCACTGCCGTTTCAATCTTCTTGGAGGATTATAGGGATGGGAGGTGCTTGATAGGGATTGTGCAAGAGGATTTGGGTGGTAAGTAAGGTTCTGGTGAAATTTGGAGAATTTTTCTGGGATAAGGTCCAGGACAAATGGGATGTTGAGGTCATGATGTAGGGGTTTGTTGGTTACATAGAAAGGAGCATCGACTATTGTTCGAAGGACTTTAGACTGGAAGGATTGGATGCGCTTGATGTTAGAAAACGGTTCTAACGATTTTAATCAAACTCGGTGTATCATTGTATAATTAAGTGGTCTTTAATATAATTTAGGTGTTATCCCCGTTGATGTCACTTTGCAGGGCCTAAATGCCCAATGTTCATATATGTCTTCCTCTAAAGTACCTTTAATATGGTTTATTTTAAAAAGTTAACCATTTCGCATTATTCAGAATTACGAAAAAATGCTACATGTAACTTTTGAAAGAATTCGGTAAATTAATAAAGGAGAAAAAAATAAAAATGCAGAAAAACCTGCGTTCCTACTGACTGTAGCGCCTAAACGAATGTACTGATTTTAATGAAACTTCGCTAAAGTCATTTTCTCGATACCCTTTAAATTTACCTATCTAACATACTTCAACGAAAAGAAGCTGGAAAAAAGTTACGAGGGATGTTAAAATTAAATTCTGAATAACTCAAAAAGCATACGCTTATTTGGGGATATTGTATATGGTTTTTTAAAAGTTTATGGAATTTCCTAAAAAAACAAAAAAAAAAAAAATCGGACAATTAGGAGGAAAGATATGGTCTCTAGGTTTTTCCCTGAAGAGGCGAAAATTTAGATAAATTTAAAATATATTTTTTAATTATTAAGACTAAAAAAACTTTTGTTTACAGATATTTAATAAAGTGTCTTTCCTAAGAACATCGTTCATAAGAAATAAGTAACTAAATTTAAACCTTTATTCTCAGTTCTATATTTTAACACTACAATCACCACCTCTGGAATCAACTTACTCATTGTCTGCATAGATAACTTTTTCAACTAAAAATATTACTAAAATGACATCACTCAAAAATGTTGAAATTGGAGTTAGTCATTCTGTGGTTTATAATAGCAAAGAAAGTTGTGTGGTTTATAAAAGCAGATGGAGTGATTAGATTTTTATTGCCTGTCGTCGATATATTAAATAGACATTTTGAAATTATAATGGTCTAATGACTTGTTATCTGTGAGCTTTAAGCTTTAGCTCTGTTAAAATGCACTTCCAACAAATTTATAATAGCCCAGCATTGCCAGAAAATAATTTCTATTAAAAGTAAGTGAAAGTTGTGTGTTGCGTGCACCAGATTTTTTTTTTTTTTTGTTTGTTTGATGAGTTGATTATTTCATAGGATTTCCTTCTATATATTTCAATAAAAATGGTATCAGCAGGATAAGCTAAAAACAAAAATCAGGTATTGATTGATTTTTTTTTTTTAGAAAAAGTTGTATATAAAATTTAATAAATCGGAGGTGGTAGCTTAAGGAAAAATTTCTATCTTGATCGACAAATACTGACTACAGATAAATATTGAATAAAAAGAAATAAAAAAGATTTTGGAGAAGTGTGGAGTAGTTTTTATATGTTCTTGCGGAGTTCATATGTAACCATTATCGGTTGTTTAATATTATATCTCTGATTGTATTTTAAAATTTTCAGTTATGATGATAACCCACATGTTTTGGCTGAAACGGCGGCACAAATAAAAAAAAATTATAATTACTGCGTCCTGAATATTTATCATCCATAAAAAATATTTATTTTATTTATACATGTTTTGGGCTCTTCAACCACTTGGGTCATTTTCGCCCTATATTACAATTTGATGAATTACTACACACATAACTCAACTATAGCTAAGAAATACAATTTAAAGTTTGAAAAGTTAAGAATAATTACAGATGATTATGATAGTACAATTGAACTAAAATTGTAAAAATTGAAACTTAAAGATTTAATAGAATATGAGATAACAGAGACAATAAAGATTAATTATATTAAGAATAAAAGCTAAAAAATACATTTTTAAATAATAAAAATTAATACTAATAGAGGCGAAGTTAAAGAATACAGTTTAAACATTAAAAAAGTACAAGAACCATTAGAATTAAACATTAAAGATTAGAGAAAGATAAGTTAACAGTTAACAAGGACATTTAAATAAAAGGTTAATGATTTCAGGAATATAATCTAAAAATACAGTTTAAAAAACAGAATTAATATTAAAAGAAGAAAAGTTAGGAAGTACAATTTAAATATTAAAAATTACGAGAAGAAAAATTGAAAAACCATTATAGTTAAAAATTATGATTAAAAGAGGAAAAATTGACAAGTATATTTACAATTTAAAGAGGAACATACAAACTTAAAAAACTTAACATTTACAATTACAAAGAGTGATTAAATTTTGTTAAATATTTTGATTTCCTTAAGGAACAATATTAAGTTTTTAATAGCATTGGGGTCCTTTTGGAGTGATTCTTCAAGGCTATTTCTGAGAAGATGTTGATCCCTAGAAGATTGGAATGCATAACATTCGGTTAGGATATGGTTCACTGTAAGAGGTACCCCGCAGGAAAGACATTGAGTGGGAGAGTCTTTCCTCATTAAGTACTCGTGAGTAAGCCTAGTGTGTCCGATCCTTAGCCGGGTCAGTACCACTTCTTCCCTTCTGGTCAGCAGGATATTTGGAGTGACTCTCCGGACGTATGGCTCCACAACCCTTAGCTTATTATCTCTAGTGGCACACCAAGTTATTTGCCACGCCAACCATGATTTTTCTTTGATTAAAGAGACAACTTCAGAAGGTTGAGTGGTGATGATAGGTAGACCTTCTTTGATAGCTCTCTTGGCCATACTATCTGCCATCTCATTGCCTTTGATCCCGACATGACTTGGTAACCATAAAAAATTTACCATACATCCAGCCATTTCCAATGTTTTAAGTTTAGTTAGAGTATCGACAACTAACCAGTTTTGAGAAAAAGGGTCCTGTATCGATATAAGGGCAGATTTCCATAAAAAATATATAATTTATGAAAATAAAACAAGGTCTAAATAAGTATTTTATTTTTAATACATCCACACATCCAGTTTTAATGAATTTATTTTTAATTTATTGATTATTTCAGTTAATGATTAATGTAAGTTATTAAGAGAAGCATATTTTTGATGAGTCTCATTTTGGAGGAATCCAAACAAGAGAAATAACTAAACTAACTTGTCATAAATTTACTTCCTTTAATTTACCGTTTTCTTAAAATGAGAGCAATGAAACATGTGGTATATGTGATGAAATATTTTTTTAGCTGAAAGAAATATTCTTAAGTTCAATATTATTCTGCCAATAAAAATTAATTTCCGTAATTATTTACCAAGGAAGCCAACTTAGTATTTTTAGTACCTGAAGAAAAGCATTTATTTCGAAGATGATGGTTCTTGCTCAAGTGACATAGTTTTTTTTTTTTCATTTATATAATTTTTAAGGAGAGAAGACCATTTCATTTTTTTTTTTTTTTCATGGAGGGTATGTTAGATCGAAATCGGAAGGGGGAAGTATGGATTTTCATGTTACTTTCTAAATTAATACGGAATCAATGGTATGTGCTATAAGGTTAGATTAAGCTCCACCGGTTCCGAAATAAGAAAATCTGGTAATATTTACGGTACTGAAAGTCGTGCCATTATTGAAAAAAAAAATATTTCGAGGTTTCATTTAGAAAAAAACGTAAACTAGAAAACAGCTATTATATAGCCCTTAAATTAAAAATTAATGATAATACAATGTAATGCAATAATAAACATAAAATATCATGTAGACAATGTTATACAACTTTTATTGAGTGATTATAATGATTGACTAAATGTGTTGACCAAGCCATCTTTGGACTTAAAAATATTTAAAAAATCAATATTTTCAATTTTTAATATTAAGTATTACCAAATATAGGTGATTTCAGAATCGCCAGATTCAAGGTCCAGACCCATACTATTTAGTATTTCGGGTTTAGTTTAGTATTTAGTATTTAGTTAGGATTTAGTTTAGTATTTCAGGCTCAGACGATTTAGCACTTCATTTTTCAACTGTAGTTTAAATAAATATTGGTCCTATTTTTTTTTAAATCCTGATTTAAATTTAAAATTATAATCCTTCATTTAAATTCCTACATTGAAATAATAATACAATATGGGGTATTAATGTGTTACAAAAAAAAATTAAAAAGCAAGTGGAAAAATATAATAATTTATTGCATTAAAATAGGTATCATTTATCTCTTAAAGTTTTTAATTTATGTTTACAAATTGTTAATCAAAGATTGATTAATACTTTATTGCATTGATGTTCAAAATTTTTCATCTTCTTCGGTTTCGTATGATTCAGTTGGTTCTTCAGTAGGTTCTGTGGGTCGCTTAGTTGGTTTTGTTGGTGGCTTAGTATGTTTCGTTGGTGGCTTTGTTCGTTTTGTTGGTGGCTCAGTAGGTTTTGTTGGTGGCTCAGTAGGTTTTGTTGGTGGCTCAGTAGGTTTTGTTGTTGGCTCAGTTGGTTCTGCTGTTGGGGGCTCATCGGTCGGATGATTAATCTCTTTGCAAACGAACTGAGAGAAACTTCTTTGGAAAGTTGGACTCAAGACTGCTCCGTTGAGGGCAAAGTTTGTGACGGGGATAACTCTCGGAGTGACGAAGTTGAGTATGGTCTGTGAAATGGTGCTGAGCCCCGGAATGTCTTGGGGTTGGATTAACACCTTGAATCCATCTAATTTGTCGACTGAGACACCGTAGAAGCTTGCGTCACACCGTCCATCCTTCTGAACAACCACGATTCCTTTAGCACCTACAATGTTCACTTCAGGAGAAAGGTCCACGAACCCTTCTCTGATGACGAAGCCGATGATTTTCACTTTGAACTTATACTGTATGCCGAGCTGCTGCAGGCCCAGCTTAACGTCGAAGAGGTAAGTCGTGGAGCCGTCAGAGTTTGTCCTCTTCTGGATTCCTGGATCCCCTTTGAGTACTAATGTGTTGAGCTCGCCGATCTTACCGTCCGTTAGGGCAACGACATCAGTAGGTAGGTAACCGCCAATGTTGGGTAAATTTAACTCGGTCATCAAATGGTCCTCCAGGTAGTAGTTAGACTTGATGATTACATTCTTGACTACTTGGATGGAAGGATCGTCCTCATGGACAGGAGCGAAATCTCCCGCACAAGCTGAGGCTAGCAAGAAACCCAGAGCCACAACAGCGAACATGATTTGAGACTGAGGGTCCGCTACTGCGATAGCCCACTTATATTAATCCTTATCAGGTAATGAGACAAATGAACCTTTTTATCCATACACACCACTTGAGAATGATACCTTAATTTTCAAGAGGTGACGAAAATTAATTAAATTGAAAAGATCACTCAATTAGGGGGAACTTCAAACAACAGAATTTCATTTTGTTCTATTATTTACATATTTTTTTTAATGACCCATCAAGCTTTTGTAATAAAAAGGTTCATTACAAAATAAAAAGTTTTAAAAGTATTCTCCTATCAGAAGGATTAATCTGAATTTGTCAAGATTTGCCCATATTTTTTTTCCTCCCCTTCCTTGCCTTTTATGCTATACTGTTTTTTTTTTCGGGCCATAAGGGAGAGCGTAACATTTGAACTAGTAATTTTCGATTTATCAGGTTGTCGGGCAACGCATGTTTCACACAATGGATAAGCCTCCATGTTCAACCTGTCCCATTAAGAATTGCCCTTCTAAATCTTCTACAGTTAAAAACTCAGTGAGCCATGAAATTTCATCAAAAATAAATCAAACAAAACTATACTATTCAATCGTCTTCCTGTAGATTTAAATTTCCGAGTAACAAATACCAATTCAAATACTCTGGTTCCACAATAACCTCAAACAATGACCTACGGTCGGAAATAGACCAGCGTATATAAAAAAAAGCAGTTATCTCTTTTACAAAGATATTGTGATCCCGGAAAAATTTCAAATTAAGGATGTACAATGCCATGAAAAGCCAGTTCTGACATACGGCTCCGAGACCTGGACAATAAGAAATACTCTAAAAAAAATATTGAAAGATATGAATGGAAAATCCTTTGCAATATAACCATTAGAGGACCAGAAAACGAATGCATTCAGTAGAAAGACCCATAAAAAAACTGCTTACAAAAACTGGTCAATTAGTATCTAATATTCTGAAGGCAAGGAAGTTAAAATGGTGGGAAAGGTCAAGCATCAAAATTAAACTATAAAACAATAAATGACTCAATAATTGGCTTAAAATAACGTGGTAGGCCAAAATCCAGATGGACATATCGAATCAACAAATATGTAGCAGAAAACATTGACTCCATGGTTGATATTATCACCTCCAACCTTCTAATATCTTTGATATCCATGCCCCCCTCAAAACCACTACCTTTCATCGTCGTCCGGTTCAATGGAAATGTCACCAAATAAAGAACCTTCAGAAGAGACGTGACACTGCCTGTAGACGGCTTAGACGAACCAGGCTTGCTGACGACAACCAATCGTTTCGGTTGTCAGTTAGCTGATACAAACCATCCGACGAGCCAAATCCACCTATTTCTATGAAGCCCTTTTTTCAGCTCCTGATTACAAATGGCTACTCCTTTGTAGACTCTCCTTCTGTGAACCTTCTAGATCAACTCTCTTAGCAATCTTTCCAGTTTTACCTGATGATATACATTCATATTTTATATCTGCTTCCTCTGCCACCCCAACATTAACACCCTCTTTCTTTCCTCCTGGAACATCGTTTAATGAACACGATATTTATTTTTTAGATATTCCACCAACAGACCTCATATCCGCTATGATGAAATCACATTCTATTATAAATCCATTGGTCCGTTGGCATTTCTGCAAAATTAATCAAATTATGCCTGTCTGGTATTCTCTCCGTTCTCCTTTTCATCTATAACATATCTCTTCAGGACTCTGCATTTCCTACCCCTTAGAAAAAAGTCGCTGTCTGCCCTTTAAATAAAAGCTGTGATTCTTCTTCCTCCGAAGATTTCTTTTTTGTTTTTTTGTTATTTTTCAAGTACAATTATAAGTATAGTTAAGTAGATTTAATTATATGTATGAAGTAATTATGTTTTATTGCAGTCTCTGTGTTTGCTGTTTCAGTGGTTTCTTGTCATAGTTGCCTATTGTTTGGATCATACGGTTTTCAGACGTTGGTGTATGTTCAAAAAAATCCTTGTTTATTAAAATAAATATACGGTTTTATAATTGGAAGGTGTAACTCTGATAACTTGATATATATTTTTTGTACTTGCAGAATTATTTTTATCCTCGTCTTCTTTTTTTTTTCCTTGCCATTTACGGCAATATGGAATTCGAGATTATTAACTGGGATAAACATTATCGATAAAGCCTGTGATTTCCCAAAAAATTTTCTATCAAAAGCGGGCTTCTGAGAAAGCAAAGCAATTGAATAAACAGATGAGTCAGTCCCGTGACATCAAAAAGCTTTTAAAGCATAGAAAAATGTTATCTTAAAAAAGAACAAAGACTAACGTTTAGGGATTTACGTTTGCGTAATCAATTAGACTCTTGTCTTTTAACGGGCCTAGTAATACTTCTTTGAAGTTCCTGCGTCGACTGTATTTACGAATAACGTTTTAGGGAAAAACCCCAAATCGCGGATTTTCCCAGCGTTTCTTACGTTTTACGGATTTGCGCAGGTTTACATATCCTCTATAACGTTAGATAGTTTTGATACGAATTGAGACGTCAAGGGAGTGTTTCTGGGAATTTTCTTCATTTCATTTTTCCAGTACCACTATTTTGGTAAATTAAATTTAAACAAGTAATTAAATATTATTTTATATATATATATATATATATATATATATATATATATATATATATATATATATAAAGCATGACTCATTTTAACGAAGATTGTTGCTTAACTTTTTTTAGTTTTGTTTTACCTTAACAATAAATATATATTCATGAAAAAAATAATTAATAATTATTAAATTAATAACGAACATCTAAAGTTATATTGACTTGATAACCTGTTACCGTTTACCGTTTACTGTTTACCCACAGGCACTTTGCTATCATTAACTGTTTTATTTGACGGTTACATATAATAATATTTAAATTTTAAACCTAAATAAAAATTACGTTCTTCAGGTAAAAATTGGCATTTAAATCTGCATATGCAAAGCTGGTATCTATGTCATAAAATAGTTCTGCGCATGCGTTAGCCCTAGTTAAACATACGTCAGTTCGTCTCTTAAAAAATTTCAATTATCAGTGGCAGTATACAAGCTTAATGTGAACAATTAGTGTTATCAGTTACATTAACAATTACGTTTGATACTGGACAAAAAAATAGGGTGAGTAATCACTTATTTACAACACAAGAGTGAACAGTGTAAATAGACCTTAGGTTAGTTAGATAACGGCCAGCCATAATACACATCGTTAATCTGACTAGTGGGCTGGAGCCCTTCGTCGGAAGCAGACCTGCGTTCTCCAAGCGCGCGTCTATATTTTCGTCTTCAATAAAAATTTATTTTTTTCATCGCCTCACTTTTATCAATTTTTCTTTTAAAAAATTAATATGAAATGCGATATTATCACATGCTAATGTCGAGTAAGGGCAAAAACACTAGGTCCAGGAGCCTCGATACTACAATTAGTTCTCCCATTAAAAAAAAGACAAGGCATTCAAAAAGAAACACTCCACCAGCCACACCAGGGAGCTCCATAGAAGAAGTTGAACCCCAACCTGGCTCCTCACAACAACCTAACAATTGTGAGACAACTCAAGCTATGGGCGAAGAATCGCCGTTTTTCACTTCGAATCCATTTGAAGTGCTTTCAAATATAAATAACGAACAAATGGAAGCAGCATCAACCCCCAGAGAACCTAAACCCCCCCCCAATATTTGTTAGAAATATTAAAAACTTTCAATTGATGTGTCATCAATTGAATAATCTAGTAGGTTCAGGAAAATATTTATGCCAAAGCCGCACCAATGACACTAAATTAATGCCCGACACTCCAGAAACTTACAGAAAAATGATAAAATATTTATCTGACACCAAGGCTGATTACCACACGTATCAACTGCGTCAAGAGAGGGCGCTCAGGGTCGTTATCAGAAGACTGCATCCATCTACGCTAACAGATGCTATAAAAGAAGAGCTCATGGGTATGGGATTCCATGTTCGACAGATATTGAACATATTCAAGGAGGATAAAGAACAGCCTGGAACAAAAAATAAAATACCTCTTCCACTATTCTTCGTTGACCTTGACCGAACACCCGATGTCGAAAACATCTACAAGATCACACGCCTTTATTATACAAGCGTTGTTGTAGAAAAGCCCTACAGCAAGCGCGACATCGTTCAATGCCATAACTGCCAGGCTTATGGCCATACGAAACGGTATTGTCATCACATTCCTAGATGTGTGAGGTGTGGTGAGCAACACAAAACAGAGGACTGTAGGAAGTCAAGAACTTCACCTGCAGTATGCGCTTTATGCCACCAAGGACACCCAGCCAACTACAAGGGTTGTCAAACATACAAAAATTTAAAAACACGAATGTACGCAACGCCTAGAGAAGAAGGAACATCCAGGCCACCAAGACAACCCTCTAGAATAGTGAACGGAAGAGTGTCCTATGCTCAGATGTTCAAAGGAGACACTGTAAACTCTCAATCTCAGGCCCTGCCACAAGAACCTAAACCTCAAGAATTCACACATCAACCTCAAGACCCATATCCCTCCATCCCCGAACGTAGGTTAAATACTCATACATTCATTCCTCCTCCTTCCAATTCCACTGACCTCACAAGCCTACTGACATCTTTCCTTTCCGAATTTAGATCTCTCATTACCCCTCTTATTTCGCTACTTACCAATGTTATATCCAACCTCATTCCACTGCCAAGAAATCCATAAATGTCATCAACCAAATTCCTCTCCATTCTCCTTTGGAATGCGAATGGTATTCGGAACCACATCAACGAACTGACAATCTTATTACATGACAAAAACATCGACATAGCACTAATAACTGAAACTCGACTAACCAACAAACGACAAATCAACGTTCCCGGCTACAATATTTATCGAACCGACCATCCTGATGGAACAGCACATGGTGGCACTGCCATAATTATCCATAGATCCGTTTCCCATCATCTATTCCCTTTGCCAACCCATAATTTCCTACAATCCACTGCCG